CACAGAGAAAGTGACCTGGTCCCAGAGAAAATTAAGATGCTTTTTAATTTACAATAGATTAAGAAAAGATAAATCTAGCTGTTTATTTTATGAATGATAAGGAAATGTGAAAAATATATTACTTAACTGGACTTTGATATTCCTCATCATGAAACCACATCTCCAAACCTTGTTGTACGATATTATTATAGCCATTATATAACTTATTATGCACCCAGGTGAGTAGCTGTGAGTGTGCTAAAGACTGCCAGTGAAACTGGTTTCACATCCCTTACTATAAACCAGCCATTTATGTGAAATAGAAATAAAGCATGCAGAAATTCCCTTGGATCTGAGAGTAGGGTTTCCCCCAGCACAATTAAGTTTGTGGTCAGTTTAGTTGAATAAGTTAAGAATACTAGCCAATCAGAGTTTACGGGGAAATGGATTTCCTAAATAAATATGATTCCCACAAGCATGTTCCGTAAAGAATTTCTCAGCTTTGAAATCCAATAGAGAAGTTACTCAGTAGCACTCCATTCTATCACTATGAAGAAAAGTAATGTTTCTCTCCTTTTGGGTATCATCTTCCTGGCTCTGATGAGAGTTCAAGGTAAGGAGTTCTGAGTTACATTAGGTTAGTAAAGTCAGCGATGTGAATTGCTACAAAAGCCTTTTGATTTGCCCACTAAATATGATTGTGTTATATGCATCAGAAAGTGACATACGTCACTTATAAAAGCTTCTCAGTGATGTGGTAGATTATCCAAAGTTTATATCTTAGACCTGCCAAGTCAGAATAAATCTTCTTAGTCTTGGTGTGTGAATTCCTGGCATGTTGTGTTGAACCGAATGATAATGAGATAAAAGACTCTGTCTCCTGAGTTATTTTTGTCATGCTGATATTGTTTCTTGATAAATATGTCTGCGGTTAACCAATTGAAGATCCAATAATCAGAGAAATTGTCCCTAATCTGTTTACTAACTACCTTTTTTACTTTGAGAAAATTAGTGGACTTCGTATGTAAAATGAGGGTTGTATAGTTCTACCTACCAGACGATGTATGGCATAAATAAGCACTAAGTAACTATATGTTGAATGCATGAAAGAATTAAGGAATGAGGATAGTGTATTTTAAAGAGTTTCTAAAAGTTTAAAACACTATTGAAAAGCAAGGCAGTGGGGAGGATGAAGATGGTGGTGGTAATTCATTATCACAGGTAGAGCTTTCTGTCCCAACCAACATGAACTCCATTCTACTACAGTCAGATAATAAATGGCTTTGGGAATTGCTGAGGAAACTGTGGTCCACATAGCACACATGAATTAGTTATTTGTGTGTGTCTGACCTATGATAGGCATTTGTTCAATAATATGAAAATCTCTTTTCCTAAGGTTATAGGATATGGTAGCTAAGAGCAATGTCTTTGGACTCAAACCCCTGCACCTGCCTCCTAGAAGATGCATGGCTTTGTTCTTTACTTAACTTCTCTGAACTTTAGCTTCTTTATCTATAAAATGGAGATAATACCTACTTCAAAAGTTTGTGGTAATGATTAACAGACACTCAGTAAATGATAATAATAACCATGCCTAAGTCAAGTGTATCATTTTGATGGATCATCTAAATTGAGACAT